GCTTAAACTTCGGCTAAAAATATGTATATTGAGTCTAAATGCGTGCTAAATATTTTATATATATAAATATATATATATATGGGGTGTGTGTGTATATATATATGTAACTTAAACATGGGCTAAGTATGTTTATAGACATAGATATGTCTGCATGTATTTTATATATATATATAATATATATATATATATACACACACACACACAGATATGTGAACTTAAACATCAACTGGGACTCAGGTTGCCAAGAGCTTTGTAAAGGAGTTGGGTTTGGGGGTCTTTGGAGTTTGGAGTCCTCTGAACAGGGAATCGATGTCCTGACTCACACCCGGATTGTGGCAGACGGGCAGCGGCAGGAGCCGGCCGGCCCGGTCCCGGATCAAGCAAAGAGCGGACAGGGCTCTGCTCCAGCTGGAGATTTAGGGATGAACTGCTGAAACCGGGATGCGCTCGATACTGGTTGGGTAGGATTTCATCTTGGGCAGCAGTGTGCCCTGCAGAAAGGTCTCCCATGTTTTGGCTGGAACAAGTCAGAGACTTCTCCCTCTCTGGACATGTGCAGATCCCTTTATTGTAGTTTCTTTCCCTCGTGAGATTGCAAAGCTTTAGTGCTCTTAGTTGATCAAAGCCCAAGGGCGCAGAAAGCTTATCTACTGTTTCAAGCCAGAATTAGCCTTATTTCTGTTTTGCTTCATTTCTACACAAAGTTGCTTCTTTTTAGCAGTCTGCTAGTTGTGTTGACCCTTGAACCACAAGTCAGTGTGGGCGCTATTGCTTTGAACTCTGAATTTGGCTGTGTTCTTCACAGTGTTGGCTGCATTCACCCCAGGGATAACTCCCTTGTAACTCCCCCCTCTTTTTTTTTCCTGATCCAGCAGTTAGGATGTGCAAATGTCTGTACTGAGCTTTGGCTCATTCAGCTTCTGTCTGCTAGAATTATCTCTCTAGGGAGACTTATGTCAGTCTCCTGTTTAATCATAGTAAATCCAAACTTAAGCACTAACAGATTTTTTTTTTATTGTAATAAAATCCTGATTTGATTTTTGAGATGAAACAGAATCAAGTGTGCATTATAAAAATCACAGCGCCTTTCATTAAATACAGTTATTTCTAGTTAAACCACGCTAAAACTACTTATTTAATTGTAGATCCTGGTTTTGCTAAACATTTCCCTTGATGCAAGGGAGAGTTAACTTTCAGACTTAGTAGCCTTTTTTGATGTCTCAATATTGCTGATACGGGGAGTAGAGCTCAGACTGTAGTTGATGTATGTGGCAGAGTTGCCCAAGCACGTGCCAGCTAGATGACATTTAGTAGCACAGATAATGAGTGTGACACACTTTTCCCTGTGCTTGATCTTGAAAGAATTAGTTGAGGGGTGGCTGTTGCTAAAGAGTAAATTTATTAATGATTTCAGTTATACCGTCTAACCTGTGGTATTAATGTCTCTCTATTTCTTTTTTTTTTTTTTACCATAAATATGGACTTTTATTTATAGCTGTTGCACAATGGTTTGCATCAGTTTTGCTACATAAATGGCTAAATAATCAAGTTTAGTATTTCAGTTAAACCTGGAACTAAGGCAAGATTATCCATATGTAAAGAAATTCCTCTGTCTGTTAATCTCGCCTGTAAAAATGTCTATGTTGAAATGTATTTGTTCAGGCGTGAACCACTGGCTCTTATCAACCTCAAGAAGAAGAATGATGAAACTGGGGAAGAAGAACTTGCCTCACGTTTAGATCACTGCAAAGCAAAAGCCACCAGGCACATATTCCTCATCCGCCATTCGCAGTATAATCTGGACGGCCGGGCTGATAAAGATAGAACTCTGACCCCCCTTGGTATGTAACATTAGAAATATTGTGCTACTTATTTTTGAAGAGGGGAAAAAAATATATACTTCTAATTTGCCACCATCTTGATCCGTACAGGTCAGTAACTCACCTCTGTTTTGGGTCTCACTACCAAACCTTAATCCACTTACTGGCTATGCTGGCTTCTTTCTATTAAAAAAAGATACTAAATAAGTTAGATATAAAGTGGATTATTTTTTTCCCTTTTCTGACCTTCCAAATCCAAACATTGAAACATATTTTACAGAGTTCTAACTACATATCACAGATGTAGAGAAACTTCCTAATGGAAAATCAAAACTATTCTAAGGGGATTGGGCTAAGTTGGCATGCCAGCTGGCATATTTCTCCAGGGCTAAGGCTTTTCACTGAAACTTAACTCTGTGCCTGGGGTGGAAATTAATTGCTTGTAAGATGGATTCTGTTAATTTGCTGAGTTATGAAAAGATTTTATTTTTAACCAGACTATTTTCTTTTGGAGTGTTTGTAATCAGATATATTTCACTTTCGGTGCTAAGCAGGTTTTTTGGGAATACTGATCAGTTGCATGAAATTATAATTACAGCCGTCTGTGTCACTCATTGATCCTGTGGCTTGGTAGTGAACTAGCATCTCTGCTGTGCAATTTCTTGGGTAGATTGTGTGAGGTTCTTACTTGAGTATCAGTGATGTAAATGGTGAATACCATTTTTAAGGTCGAGAACAGGCTGAACTGACTGGGCACAGACTGGCCAGCTTGGGGTTGAAATTTGATCAGATTATCCACTCCTCCATGACTAGAGCAACTGAAACAACTGAAATAATCAGCAAATATCTCCCCGGTAAGTGACTTTTGTTAATGTACCAGGGTCTTCTGATTCTCAGAACTGCTTCCAGCAGAGTTCTAAGCTTCTCTTTGAGTTAAGGTGTAATTGAGCTGTTAATAACTTTCTAGAGCTGTGTGAATATGTCTGTATTTGTAATTAAAGAAACTAACCACCCTAATTGTGCTTGTTTCCAGTTCATCTTTAAAAATACGAGAGGGAGCTGGACCCTCTGAGTGAATAGGCTGGTACCAGTATGTTCTGCTGTGTAGGAGAACTCTGCTGATTGCCCTTCCTTCCTTTACACATTTGTGAGCAAAGACTGTCACAGGTCATCAGGATAACTTCAGTCCTTACCTGGCCTCAGGGTGCCATAGTGCAGGAGAGAAGAGAAACATAAATTCCAGGTGTTAGTGGTGGGTTAATTAACAGGCCCTTGTGCACTGTTAGCAGGTGTGCAGAGGGAGATGTGGCACACCTGTGAAGGTAAAGGGTCTGGATTTCTGTAGTGAGTGGGGTGGCTGCCACGTTTTTTGGTCTTTTTTCCCCATCCTTGCCCAGTAGCTGCCATTTAAGCAAAACCTTGGCTGTCTGTAAGTTGTGATGTGAGTATCTAGTCTAAACTCTGCATTAGATTTCTGCACGTCTCGGTCGCACTGAAATGCAGAAATTACTGATTGCAGTGATATCTGATGTTAAAAATACAGAAATCTAATGAGAATAGTTCAGATGCCTGTATATGTGCACAAAGACTTCTCACTATAGCTGGTTCTCTCTGGAGAAAAGTCCATTCCTATTAAACATTCTGTTCTAGTTCTCTGGAGTCCAAAAGATTTTCATCCACAGACTAAAAGAGATTAAAACATTAAAAATGTAGCATTGGCATTATTTATTGGCCTGTTATTTTAGGTAGCACTGAGAAGTCTCAACAGTGCCAAATTTGTTTAGCTGTTCTGTTTGTTCTTTTGGAATAAACTCCCCCTTGCTGTTAACTAAGCAGTTGTGTTGTAGAAATTTAAAGTCCTAGATAGGAAATTATGTAGATTAGAAAGGACTTTAGGGCTGAGGTTAAGGCTTTTTTGTATATAGTATTTGAAAAAGGTATAGGCTCAAGTTTTATGGGCCTGTTTGCAGTGTAAGGTGAAGCAACAACAAATTCCTGAACAGGTATATAATTTTGCAGGAGTCAAAAAAATTAGCACTGATCTGCTGAGAGAAGGAGCACCAATAGAACCAGATCCGCCAGTCTCTCACTGGAAACCAGAAGCTGTGGTAACTTTTTATTTATTTGCTTGTTTATTTTTAACACTCTTAATACATGTTGTCTGTACTGATGCTTTTCATCATAGACCCTAGATAACTGCATATTTTCCCCTCCTCAGTAAGTGTATGGAATGGTTAAAATAACTCGCATTTGGGTCAGCCTCAAGCGTGTACCTCTAAAGAACCCTTTAGAAGATGCATCCCATCTGCGCATGCAGATAATGGCACATGCTGCTCGGAGCAATGTTTAATTATGAACTCTGTGCCATTAGCAGTATTACGAAGATGGAGCTCGCATTGAGGCTGCTTTTCGAAACTTCATTCATAGAGCTGATGCAAAGCAGGAGGAAGACAGCTATGAGATCTTTGTCTGCCATGCCAACGTGATCCGTTATATTGTGTGCAGGTACCTGTTGGGTTCTGTGTTCACCTATGTTCTTTGAAAGGTTATAGCTTTGCTCAAGTAGTGTTGTTGCTTGCACTGCTGACCCAGGAAATCTGTTGGTCTGGCAGGTTTTCATGGGGTTGGTGATGGGTAGCTGCGTTAGGAGCAGCTGCTCCTGCAACAGGATCAATTTGCAGATGCGATAATGTGTTTGAAAGCTAGAAAATCTCCATTCTAAAGTGAAGATGACTAAGCCTAGAAAAAAAGTCTTCGAGGTTTGAAACCTTCTTTTGTAGGTCTTTAAAGCATCTGCTTCACAAAAAAACTGCAGACAGTGCCTGTGTGGGCTGTCAGATAAGACAACAAATAGAGCATCTGTCTGGATGTCTCTTTTGAAGTGACATGAATTTGATCTCACCTACTGAAAGATCTATTTAGCTTTGAGAAATCTTTACTAATGAAAGATACTGGTCCTATCTTGAAGTTATGTTAGTGTATCCTTGCAAGGACATCTGATGCTGAATTGGGGTGCGGGAAGTGGATCTTCCATCAAGGTGGCTCATGAAGGAGAAAACAGTCCTAGGTCCTTGTCCAGGACTAGTCACTTGAGCCTGTTTTATTCCTCTCCCCCATCAACAAAGCACTGTCTATGAGATGATTTGTCTTGAGCAGGACACTTGTGATTAAAATTTAATCTAGTCAATAGCTACAAAGTCAGCTTTATTTGGCTGAACTACTTAAATGCTATCTTGTCTGCACTGTGGACTGCTGTAAAGCTCTTCAGTATTCATATGCTTATGATTATTGATCAAATATAAGATATTTTTTCCTGTTCCAAAAGAGGTTGTCTTGCCACTGCCTAGTCTTTTCCTGTAATACAAAAGGATGGAATTAAAGGCAAAGAGAAAAGCTAACCCCTCTTCTATACTTCACCTTTCACTATAGGCCATGTGATAATGAGGTTGAATGCAATTCGAGTTAGGTGGACTTATTTATTTTATTCTTTTAAAATGTTATCCTATGTTCAAAGCCAAATTACTCCACAGTATTATCTATGATATGGGGTTTTTGCAAGAACTTCATTTTTCTCTGGCTGTTTGGTACAATTGGTTGAACTCTGGAGACTGCTAAGTTAAGAATTTTAGAATAAAATAGCTAGAGACTAGGAAGACCAGTGATACTGATTTTTTTTTAACAGAAAAAGTGATTATCTTTTTGGTACAAGTAACTGATACCTGAAGGAAAGTAATTCTGTTGACTTTCTGCAGTAGACGCACTGGTAGTTGGAGTGTGTAATAGGTCATTACATCTTCCCTCCTGTGGTTACCTGGAGTAATTTTAGCCTTACTAATACTAAGACTTTAGCCATGTCTAGCACTGCTAGACATGTGAATAGGGCTTATGCTTTTGGTCTGCTGGGAGGCTTACGTGGGCAAGTGAGTCCTATTTGCCCCTAACTGCCCTAAACAGTGTGGGGTTTTGTGGTACTGCAGTTGGCTCAGTGAGCAGCTGAACCACCACATCTGTCCTCGTGCTTGTTATTAGGTTGCTCAGCTCTCCCAGCAACCTGAGAGGGTTATGGCTTCTGCCTTCTGCCCATGTGAATTAATCCTATCTATGTTAATCACTCCCATCTGTGGGTTTCCCCATATGAAAGTGCTCTGTTGGCACCAGCCCAGTTGTCAAAGCTGCATTTTCCTATCAGTCGCACACCGGGACCTCTCTTCCCCAGCGCTGCCTGTGTAGGAGCATTTGCATGCAAGCTGCAGCACCCACAACCATTCTCCCCTTATCTGGCACAGCAGATGCTGCAGTCCGCTGCATGCTAATAATGTAACTGTTTATGGATGACCAACATTACTTGTGTTTTTCTCCTTTTCCCTAGAGCACTGCAGTTCCCCCCGGAAGGCTGGCTGCGAATGTCTCTCAACAACGGCAGCATCACCCACCTGGTGATCCGGCCCAACGGCAGGGTAGCGCTGCGCGCGCTGGGCGACACGGGCTTCATGCCGCCCGATAAAATCACGCGCACCTGACCGCGGGGCAGCCTCTCGGCTCTTTGCACTAGTACATTCAGCTACAGTACCACTAGGTTATCTGCTATGTTGGGATGTGACACTGTTTTAAAATGTCTTTTAGCCCCTTGCCTCCTTCATCCATACTCATATCTGCCTTTCAGTCCAGAAAAGAAGAGATTCTGTGTAAGCCTGAAGCCACCCGGTCCTCACGTGTTCCCAAAAACTCTTTTAAGTTGAGCTGTGGAATACGAAAAGATTGAATGTCTGTGCGCTCACCAGCTGGGAGAGCACTACTATATTTATGTATATATATTTTTTTCTTTCTCTCTTTTTTTCTCCTTCTCTCTCTTCTGTGAATATCTATAACCAAAGCTTGCTCCTGTGGATTTTTTTTTTTTGTGTGCAGGAAAGCAATTGGTATGGGCTCTGGAAAGGACAGCCCATATCGCACTGCAGCTAGAACTGAAGGTGAGGCAGCTTATTTCACCTCTTGCAGAAGCAGCTGAGGGAATTCTGCTCTTTAAAGGACAAAGGGTTAAGCCTTTTTTTTTTTTTCTCTCTTTTCTAAGCTATTGAGGATGTGTATCTCTGTTGCATCCTTGTTCCCCTCTGCCATCCCTTCCTCCCCCCGAGTTCATGTAAACTGTGCCTGGAGATGATGGACATAAAGAAAAGAGGGTTAAAAACCCATTTGCCTCAGAGCTGTGGTGCTAGAATTACCTGCTGCTCATATTAAGTGTTCCACTGTCCTTGGAAAGCCCTTTAAGCTATTCAGAGCAATGTTCTTCAGTCTCATAAAGCCTTTAACTAAAACTTGGTCTATGGGGGGAGGGGGGTGTAGGGATGAGTAAAGATGGAAGAAAGGGAAAAGCAGGATCTTTCACTGTTTCTTCGTGTTATGACTCGTGTTTACAAGGACTAGAGACTTTTCTGCTTTCTCCCATTGATTCATGTTTAATACTTTGCTTTCCAAGTAGAGAAGAGTATTGGGGTTCAAAGTAAACGAGTTAGTTGAGAGCAGAGGTGCTGCAGCATTGGGACAAACTGCTGTTCAAAACTACCCATGCCTGACTCGAGTAGTGCTTGGACTACTCAGTAAAAATTTGAGGCAGAATGTGATGGCCTTGCTCCTTTGTACAGCTTTGACACTGCAGAACTTGTTCCAGGTAAAAATCCAGGTGCCTGAGAACCAGGGTTTAATTTGAGGGCTTGGAAGCCACTTCAGATTAAGAGCATTTGCTGTTCCCCTGGCCTTTCTGCAATGCTTGGCTCAGGTAATGCCTGGAATGTTGAAAGTTTTACCATATACATAGGCCACTTCTTTTAGTGAGATTTCACATACTGAAGTAGTGCAGAAATAAATAAGGAATTACAAGTTTGACTGATCCACTTAGTGTTGAGAATCCTGAAGAAACCCCAAGTGCATTTCTGTCAGAGCTGTACGACGCATAATCATGGCATGCAACGGAGCAGCACACGGTCTAGTGCCTTGTTTGACACAGGGCTGCGGTTATCAGGATGACTTCAAAGAAACTGGGGCAGTAGGAGACAAAATAAATATGAATGTTGTCACAGTGCTCGTCATTGGCAGGGGCAGGGGGAAGACATTGTGAGGTACCTCATCAATGCAACGAGAGTAACTTATCAGTTTTGTCTATTAACTTTTTAAAAGTTTTGAATAAAATACTTTCTTTATTGTCTTTATTGTCTCTTCATTTGAATTGTTGAATGAGATGCTCTTAAAGAACGTGGCTGAATAGAGACGAGACAAATTGTCTTACTGTAAACGCGCTCCTTGGGCAGCGAGGGCTCCTAACTAACTGCGCCGCTTTGGAAAGCGAGAGGAAGGAGCAGCTCAAGCTCCTGCTGGAGCCAGGGTGAGGCTGGGGCTGCGAACCTGTTTGCCAGAGCCTTTCAGGTACCGTCCATACTGCTGCTCTCTTGCTTTGCTAAAAACTTTTCACTATTTTTAAAAAAACCCACATAGGTACATGGAAATCAGCAGTATTTTCAGTGGCACTTCCATTGGAGCAGATGGTAATCTTCACAGCACTCATAAGCACCTTGCTGCTTTGCTTTATGTTAGCATTACAAATAGCGGCATAACAAAGTTTAGTCTTACTGTAACACACAAAAGATGCCTTTTTGGCAAATGTTGGTGGGATGTTAGTAAGAACTGGCTGAATTGGCCATCTACCAGGTCCCAGTGCCAGCCCCTAGACTCACCCCCTCTTTGTGCCCACACAAAGTCAACAGATGATTGTGACACTTTAACTACTCATTTATTTTTGAATAGAAAGCAGGGTAACTCTTTTTAACATGACATTTGGCTAATTAAAAAAAAAAAAAGACCTTTTGCAGCATTAAAAGTGAACTTCTGACTCTTTATAAAAACACAAATCATGTAATCGCAGTCTGATTTAAAGTGTATCCACAGGCTCTGCCTGGAAGAGCTTTCATTACAGGCATGAGTGGCCAAGTCGCTACATAAATTGCTACTTGTTTTTAACAGCTGAAGTAAATCTATTGTTAGGAAAAAAAATACATTTTAAAATGCAATACAACTGGACTAAAATGCAAATTATATGAGACAGTTGTTTAAAAAAGTGTCCTGATCCAACCAAAGCTGGAACAAAATTACAAAGTAGTAAGCAAGGGTTTGTCAGTGGTGGTGGCGATGATAGTGAGGGTGCTTGTGTACCAGAAATATAGATCTAAACTTAAAGCAAGTAGTAATAAGGGCAAAAGGATATAAGAAAAAAAAATACAGCATTAGTATCAGTCCCTTGGCTCAGTAATAAAGTGTGTATTAAAAACGCCAATGTCTCCTGAAGATCAAGATGGCTGGAGGATCGTGTACACTGGGTGTACTCAGCAACAGGCTTGTTTTTAAAATGTTACTGGGCAAGTGCCTAGACGTGATATTTTTTTAACAATTTATCCAGAATTATTTTAAAAGTCTTAATTGACATTAAAATACTTTAAAACAAAACCTCAACGCCTTTTGATGTAAAAAAGCAGGAATTTAAGACCTAAAGAAGCTGTTTTTGACAAGAACGAAGTGCTACACCAAGAGAAAAAAAAAAAAAAAAAAACAAAAAAGAGCCCCACAAAAGCGTAAGGAAGACGTGGTCAATGTGCTCAGCTGCACAGCAGGGCAGGGGCTGTTCTGTGCCACCTCCAGAGCTCGCTCGCAAAGCCTCGTTTTCCTACCCCATGCCCCACCATGCAGGTTGTTGGCTGTAATAGAGTTGAATGACAAGTATTCAAGTTGAATAACTCTTTCCAAATGTCCAGCTACGTGGAAGTAGACTTAATTAGAAAGAGCTAATTAAGCTTTTTTAATTATTATTTCTAAAATAGGAATGTTGTCCCACAGTGTAGAGCTGTCTAACAAATGATCAAACTCAAAAGAGACTTTTGAAGTACCTTCTATTCAGAAATTCCAGAAGAAAACTGTGTTTAATGTGCCCATAGTAAGTGGATACCACTTTTAAACTTTTAAAAGAACAAAAATTTTTAATTAAAAAGTATGTTACAAAAGGCACTATTAAGCTTGCAAAAGCATTAAGTGCAGTTTAGGTTTATACCAAATAACGAACCTATTCAAGGATTACAGTTTGTGTACGAAACAGTCACATTACTGTGTGCAACAGCCACCAAACCTATCAAGCTCTGGATTCTTCATTCCAGCCTACGTAATGGTGCGCGCTAGTGTGGTACCCGACCACTAGTAAAGAGATACTACAGCATCTGGCCTACAATTAGTGTTCCTGTAGACACGTAAGTTAAAAAGGTCAAGATAGATTATACGTTTTCCTCAGGTGTTGCGTGGCACCAGTGACTCCTAACCCACCTGTTTTACCTTTTCACAGTCTTGGTAGCTGTTAGTTTCCTAGTCATAGTAAAGGTGTAAAGATAAGACTTTAAGGTTTTTTTTTTTTTTTTTTAATAAAGACCTATGAAGAACAGAGCACTATGGTTCTGGAAGCCTTCTTTCAAGCAACATCACAACCATTAAGCAAGCTAAAAGAAAACTCTCTGGGTTTAAAAAAACATTCTTAATTTCAGTATCATTCATACTGTCCAAACAAGTCATTCTTCCAGAAAGCTAAAGAATAAAATTAATGAATGCTCCAACAAACGTTACCTGCTAGATCTAGACTGGAGACATAGTCAAAGCTTCCCTTTCAAGAAAAATAGTTGAGTCTTTACTCCTCTCTGGACAGCTGGAATATAAAGAAGTAAGTTCCACTTCACAAATCACTGGCTACCACTTCTTAAGTATATTACAAACTAGACCATTAAGATATGTTGCTGGTAACTTTCCTTAAATTATTGCTGATGTGCTTTTGTGTAACAACTACTAAAATCTACTAGTGATTAAAAGCTGTGGGAAAAAAACACTAATTTTATTTTAGAGTTTTAAATCTTCAAACTAACATTTAAAGGAATACAAGAAATTTCTTTAGTTCCCCTTTACTAAAACACTCAGTATAGTGCTGTTTTTAGTATCTTCAGAACAAGCAAAGACTCAAAACTCCCTGTGTACATAAATATACACACACATGTGTATATATATACACGTACACATATACACGTGTGTGTGTGTGTGTATATCCACATACGGGTGTATGTTGTTGTCAACAACTCTGTCTACAAATCGCTGGCTATAAACATAATTTCCGATTATGCAGATGGTTCCACATTCATATTCAGGGCTGGAAAGTTGTTGTCACCCTGGTTTTGTTTCAGACTTTTCAATTTGAGCACTTCCCCCTGCAAGTGGAGGAACATTTTGCTGCTTGCTATTTATTTCCTTTAATCAGATTGCTATTTACTGATGACGTGCTCCATCCAGAGGATCCAAGCAAAGAAATGCAGCTGAGGGCTAATGGATTCATTGTGATCATTACACTTGGTGATAGTAAAATACCACTAACCTCTAAGGAAAGGTTCAGCTCGCTGCTCTACTGGTAACGAGGGTTAATTAATTCATAGCTACTGGACAACTGCACTGACTGTCACTGACTTCTTGCAAATCACCAGTAATCTATATCTCGTATATGGCATAGAGACATATATTCAAATTCTTTAACATATATTTGTCCTCAATTGAGGAAAAATAAATAGCCAAATACAAACATCATGTCACTTCAGTAACATTGTAATTTTTTTCCCCTCCACTCTAACAAAGAAAATATAATTGAAGTCCCGAGAAGATGAAACATATTTTAGTGGGCAGGAGGCTCTGAAAAGTAACGCAGTTTTAAGAGCGCGTGGTTGACACAAGCTGGGCTGTAGCGTCCAGGACTCCCCAGGTCTGGAGACAAGGCGGCTGCATGGCTGTATTTTCCTGGACTGCCCAGCACTGGACTATTTCTTCCTGGACTAGAATACACAGAGGCATTTGGAGGGCCAGCAGCAACGGTTTGGGACTTGAATCTTCCCCTCAGAGCTGGACTTGGCCAACTGAAAGAGAAAGTCATTTTCCATTTTTCAAAATTACAATAAGGAAAACAATAGATTTACTCGGTATCTCTTGTAGACGCAGAAATAAGCAAAGAGAAGTCAAACGTGATCAGAGAGAGACTTGAGAAGAGAAAGTGACAGTCAACACAATATATTACGTGGAAACATGTTCCTTGGCTAAGATGTCATTTGCTCCAAAATGACCATTAAGAAAAGTGTGCTCGTAAAGCAGAGTTTGGACAATTTTAGACCTTTACCAATTGGAGAACACATGTGCTCTTGAAACATTTGTCTTCTGTTTGAATATCCTGTATAGATATACAGAATTTATTTGGGATTGCACTATGGGATTTTGACCACAGCACCTTTCCATATTAGCATCAGCATAAAGGCTCTGGTGATTAATCACTGGAACAGCCTTGCAGTTAATACAGACAAGATTTTTGTGAGCAACAAGACCTAAAATTCTGTCCATTCAAGCTGATGTACTGAAAACATTGTTAATTCAACTCTTTTGACTGAATTGTAGAAATACCTTTGCCTGTCAGATGAAGAGTAGGACTCCACTGCATGTTTCCACTTGCAAATAACAGGGTACTTCTGTGGATCAATCTCTGCTGCTTCTATAGCTGCTAAGACATCACTATCCAGTTTTGATGGCTGCTCCCTAGAACATAAAGAGAACTAGATGAGAACTAGATGAGATCCGGGCAATTAGATGTTCCAATTCTAAATATATATATATATTAGTTATAAGTAAACAAAATTCCAAAGCTTAATATCATACTTCAGCTATGAACTATTTGCAGCAGGTCAGGTATAGGTAGCTGTCCATAATTACATGTAATCTCTTAGGAGAAAAAGAAAATGGGGAATACATGAAAATTTAAGCTGAGAACATCCCAAGAATGTACTAAATATCTTACAGACCTAAATCAGGCTCCTAATGAAGCCCAACAGACTGAAAAAAAAATAGCAAAGTTAACTGTTTGAGACTAATTTGAAACAAGAAGTTTGCATGTACAGACCAAGGGAAAAAATATATGTTAAAAAAGATGGCTCATACCCAAGGAGAAATAACTTCTTAGAATTCTCATTTGTGGGTGACGTCTTCAAAAGAAATTTCTGGGAAGAAGATTCTTGACATTTTCGTGCCTCATTAGTCTGAATTCCAGATTCCACAGATCTCTCCATTTCTGAAGGTATTTTTTCTGTCCTTAACTTGGTCTCTCCAGGTCTACCCGTAACACTTGGCTCAGCAGGGTTGGCCAGTGAAATTGCAAAGCAAGTCTTATCCAGCTGGTCCTTGGATGTTCTCACCTGACTTGTTCCTTCAGCCAGAATTCCCACATTCCCACTTTTTTCAGTGATTTTACTCGATTCTCCTGCTACCTCTTGCTCTCGGAATGACAGTCTTTCAAATTTTGGCATTAAATTGCAGACATGGGACACCAGGCATTCTTCTCCATCACGCAAATGCTTTCTGTCACTAATTATCCTTTCACTGGCCACAGGATTACAAAACCCATTTCTGCTGGAAGAAACTGCCTTTTCATAGTGCCTGGGGTGATCTGACGTTTCTATGATGTTGACTGCACGCTCCATTGACAAGATATCACACTCGGAGTCCCCAAGAGCATCTATGCTAGGTTCTTTAGATGCAAGAGGTTGACTGTTATTACGTGCCGCATTCTGTCTGTTTTTGATTTCTTCTAAGCTCATGTCATCATCGTCCTCATCCAAAAATGCTCCAACAGAAATAGAATTGCAGCACTTCTTACTCTTGCCTGTGAACAATTTTAAGAAGAGCAACACATAAAAAATTGTTCTATTTCTACGGCCACTGTTATTAGCTAATTTGCCAATATTTATATTCTGTCTGTTTGAATAACAGATTAATAATAGCAGCCACAACAGGTGAGCACTATTTCCCTTGGGGACCAAATCTTTTTCCCCTCCCTCTCTCCCCAGGTACAACCTGTTGTTTGTAACATTTGCCTTTTTCTTACCAGAAGGATGTGGAGTTTTGTATCTGTTGCAGGTTTCATTTTCCCCTGTTTCTTGCTGAGCCTTTTCGCTCATTTCCTGATGACTCAGGTACTCTTCTAATTTTCGCAACCCCTCCTGGGAAGACAGATCAACAAAACAGCCCAGAAATTCCCAGTATTCAACCCACGGGAACCCCTGTTCATGAGCTAACTCCCTGCAATAAATAAAATAAAACGAATCATTTGTGAAGACATAAATATTAGTTTGACAATAACTTTTCTGAACACATTTTATCAGCTATTAACAGGACTATAAACGTGCAACTAGGCAACACAAATTCTCTAACAATCAGCAGTTTGCAAAAGCGATGTACATATCCTTAGCAAACACAGTATCAGCTACTTTTCCTGGAATCTCTTCCAGATTTTATCTACTATTCTTACATTTAGCACTCATAAGCACTGTCATACATTAACTGTATCTAGACATCTAGTAGAGATGAATCATTACTGACAGAGGTATAGCATGAATAATACTCCATTTAATTCTTTTACGTGGAAATGAGAGGAGGGGGAGAGGAGGTGAGGGATTATTCTAAGGGAAGAAATCTAATCATCTTGTAACAAACATTTTTCTATACATCGCTGGTACAAAGTATTTTAGCAGCTAAAACACATGGTAACACACACACACTCTTTTAAAAAGCAGAACATTTGTATTAGAATCTTTTGATTCTGCTGTCTTTTTAACAGTCTCTCATTTTACGGGAAAATTGGCTAAACATAATCGTAGATCTTCTGCCAAATCAGGCAAGTGAATGTTTGAGAAAACTTTCTGGATAGAGAATCAATAACCATTAAAATATCTTATCCTTTATTTCCAAAGCTGTTAGCCAGGTCTCAGCTTTTTAGCTAAAGTGTTTACATTCACACAATTATAGTGAAGATCCAGCACTACAGTATACTTCATAAAGTATTTATAACAGCAAGTTTTGCCCTACTTAAAGATCGTTCACTAGGCAATAATTGTGTGAACAGTACAAGTGTTTTGCTTTTTCTTTTAATTGCCCTACTGCTAATTTTTTAAACTGGTACTTTTTTTAGATACCTTCCAACTCTTTCAACACCTCTTTCCAGATCAGATTTCCTGACATTGTGAAAGAAGCCAGCTCTCTCTCGAGGCGGAGTCTTCCAAAGCCTGCGGAATTCTTCAGCCTTTAAAAGATAAAAGAATTGAGCAAAAAGAAAAAAACCAATACCCTTTTCCCCACTACAATATGAAATTAAATTCGCACTGTCTCAAATTCTCTGCCTATATGTCTAGAAGATATTTAGCTGCTCTCTGCCTCTATGTAAACAACTCAAGCTCTCCCACAGGTATTGCTCAATGCTAGTTTTGAAGAGTCTCATTTTGGACATGAAGTTTCCCTCCCAGTAAACTTGCTGGTTTATTACTGCACTTTGATGTCACAACTGCACATCAGAGTTACTACCAAAATGTATAATCACCTTCACGTAATCTCATTAGATAGCAAGTCAGACCGGTTTTAATTTACGTGCAGCAGAAAACAGGTATGTTTTACAACCTTACAATTTTACCGAATGACAAATACTCTCCTGCCAACTGCTTTCTCAGATGAAAAGCTGCTAATTTTATATGTATATTGTTAATTCCATAGACTTGTTCCAATTATTACAATATATTCTTTTCATTTATTCTGAAGTATGATTTAGAATGCCTAAAGAATGGATTCTTGTAAACTCACCAACTTTATGCCTTTCCATGACAAAAATCAATGATAAAAGAACTACATTCAAACATTAAAATGCTGTCAGCAACCAAAGCAATGCATTATTTATACCCTAGATAAAAGTTGTTCAGAGTATATAATACACTTACAGTTCTGTCAGGTATGCAGAAAATTGACCAAACAGTATATTTAGAAGAAAAAAAATATTAAGCATTTTAATAAAGTTCAGCACTGAAGGAGTTCAAGCATCACATGATAGAAAGTATTGTCATCTTTACTTAATATTTCTAAAATTGTTGTATTTCCAGGATGTTCCGATTAAACAAATGAGACAAAGAAATGCCTATAAATTTATATTTAATTGGTCTCTAAATATTCCTCCTGAACATTTTCTTTTTTTTTCTACTATGCAATCAATACTCTTCCAAAACTATCCAGTGCCTATTATTTACCCATCAGCTTTTCCATTTCAGGACATTTACTTGTATTTCAACAAGAAGAGGCAATAAACTACTTCAAACATCTCATTTTCATTTCTAGAAACGGGATAAGTTAATCATTTTTTAACCAATTTATACCTACACCTGTTAGTTTGGATTCAGATAAGAAAGTTAGAGCAATTATTTGTAAAGACAATACTAGACTCGTCAACAATGCCCTGTGACCAAAATGAATTTCCAATAGAAAAAAAAAAAAGAAAAAAAGGCATTAGAGTCATAAGACCTTTGCACTAAACTCTTACCTTGGAGGGGCTCATAGGGCCTGCAAAAGCTCTTATTGACAGCACTGGATCTTTGGGGCTGCCATGGTACATGGGTAAAGATGTTTGGGGGCTACCGTCCGTCTGATCGGGCGACCATGGTGCACCAATTACAGGAGCTGAGGAATTGTCATCTGCTCTCAAGAGCGGTACATAGTATCGACCTGAGATTAAATAGAAAAAAAGCTTTCTTAAAAAGATTGTTTCACTAACCTGTTGCCTCTTCCTTGGATGTAAACATCCAGAGATCTGTATATTTAAACATCCACTTTATTTCATTAGTAAAATTACTTCTAATTCAAACTCACTGTTTCAATACATTCTAACTGCTTATAAATTTATATGCTAACAGCTCCCAAATTGTATCTTTGTTCCAGTTCCCTTTCTCTCAAACACAAAAATACCTTGATTGGTGTGTATATTCCTTTCCTAAGGATCACCAACAAATTAAAAAAAATCCTTTCACAAATGCCTAAATCCACATGGGATAAACAGTGAAAACCTCTACGTAAAACAAACTAGAAGATTCCCGACATGACAAATAAATCTCTAGTACTGTAAAAGTCTTTTATTTGCCTTTAAATTAATCTTTTGTCTTCACACTCACTAAATAAAATGAGAACTATGCCCACTTTACAGAGCTGACGGGATAAACTTCTGATCTATATGAATATTGTCCATAAAACTTAAAAGACACAGAAGGCTTTCTGATGCTTTTCAGTTTTAGTGTTTCTCTTTGGTTCTTAGCACATTGTACAGCAATATCACTTACAAAAAGGAATGCTGCAGAAAGCAAACACAACAGAGGAGAGCAGAGAGCCAAATTATTATGTGCTCGAGATAGTACAAATCGCTCAGTACAGACCTTGCAAATACTCTCTTATCTTTTCTTTCAGTTCTGCAGATTTATTCTTGCTTCTTTCACAAACCACCTATTAAAGTAATTTTAATTGTTTGTTAGTGAAGCATAAGACATCAATCTCAAATGAATCAATTAAACTGTGTTCATTTGTAATATTCATATTATTGGCCTCTACCCACCTAATCCTGTATTTTAATTCATAGTAAAACATACTGCTAAAATACATCCACATCCATAAAACAGACTGTAAGAAAAGGCAGCAAACCAGAACATTTAGAACTGTCTCACAGATACAATCAATACTAAATATTTTGAGTGCTAACAGGGATTTACACTCTAATAATGACATTACTATTTTACTACAAAGCCTTCTATTTAGAGTATTGATTGTTTGGACCTGAAATAACTGCCTAGATGTGATATTTTTATTCTCAGCATGGACACGGGGAGACTTACCTGTGCCGGAGTTTGATCATACTTATTTCTTGGATTTTTTACAATAGTTGGATGTGAGGTAAGCACATTAACAACATCCAAATTCCCAAACTTGCAGGCAAAATGCAATGGAGTATCAAATCCCTGCAACGGGGAAAAGGAAAATTCACATGTATACAGAAAAATGATAAAAGTCAATCCCACATGTTTTGAGACTATAGAAAAAAATAAATTTTATGACTAACTAAAAGTACTCTTGGTAAGTCTTTCTCTACTATAGAATAATGATTACTAATAAAATGCAAACACATTTTGAACCCTCTTCCTCTCTCTCTATTCCCCTTATACTCCCTTAACACCCTCCAGTTGTTTCCACAATAAAAAGAAATAGGGAAACATTCAAATCTTACTATTTTATCCGGTGTATTAAGGTAAAGGTCAACAATATATCGGATGCGCTTCTTCAACATTGTATCATTGTCATCAGGATACATGAGCCGCATAAACTCGGGATTCTCCAAAGTGTCTAGTAATAACTGGCAGATAGCAGGTTGATTCTCCTTGGCAGCAACATGCATGACGTTGTACCTACACCCCTCCTGAAAAAAAAGACAAATTTTGGAATGAAATGAAATCTGAACACCTTGCTTACCCCCATATGCTTAACTGATTTAAGTGTGAAGCTGTAATGGTTCCCAGACTCAGTTATATATTTAGGTCTTTGTTTCTTAATATTTTCTTACAAACCGATTCTTACAGGAAATGTTATCGTAATACACACATGTCCTATCAAAGAACAAGTGAAAATAAAGTATTAAGCATGGCAACACTTGTTTTTTTTTTTTTTTAATGATCTTCAGGTCTATGCGAGGGAAGCAGCAGTGTGTCACAATACAATAAATAAAAATTGTGTAGGTGAGGGAACAGCTGAGAAAAGTACTGCATATTCTGGACATTATTTTCAAATTTGATTGAATTTGATTGAGTACACAAGAAATGTTAAGGTAAATTAAAAAAAGATCAACTTACTTAAAGTCTTAACAAATCTCAAATTACACCAGATATATATTCTCACTTTGAACCAGTCCAAAAGAGGACTGGTTGTAAGAGCTATGGCCTCAGCTGCACACAGCAATTGCTCTACCTTGACTTTTCTGGAAGATGATTTTGCAGCAGTGGGGAAAAAGGGTTATTCTCTCTCTCTTGGAAATGTCTAGGATAGCTTTCTTACGTGAACAACTGTTGGATTGTCTCCAGATCCAATCAGATAGCGAGGGTTACTCCAGATAAGTTCTGAAAATGTTGCTATATCTCCTTTTTCAACAGCTTTCCGAAGTTTAGCAGTAAGATCTTGAGTACGTGGACTCTTGTAACTGTTGGCCCTTTCCTTATTAGCAGTTTCAGTCTCAGGGGAGCACAAGCCATCTATGAAAACACAGCTATCATGTTCCTAATATATTTTTTACAGTGATCACTACATTAATATATAGATCATCAAAATAAGCTTGTATTCTAAAACATTTTAGCAGCTTATCACTTAATATCAGTATAAGTAACATACAATAAACATGAGTAGTTAGTAATTGCAGGGAGAATATTACTTGTGCTGTCACCTCAGGCTTCAATATGGACTGATAAACTTTTTAATTATCAATCTGGTTACACACAAAACTATCATATACAGATGAACGCCCTCACCTCTGTTAAATGATCCCATCTTCACTGGAGATAGACATAAAGAGGACTTGCTCGGAGATGGAAAGTAATCGCAGATTCCTTTAGCAAATTTCTCAGCATCTTCTCTGTTTGAAAAAGCTTTGAATCGGGAGCCTTTAATCATCTTAACAGCTTGGAGAGCTTCCTTTTTATCTTCATAAACATGTACTCTCTCTGAAAGAAAGTACAAGCAAAACTAAATTATTTCAGTTACATCACACTTGTCCACAGAAACCGGTTACAGAATTCTCAAACTATCCTTCTAGCCTACCAAATGTGGCACAGTCATCAGCAATCCTTTAAAATCTTATTTTTAGAAAACTGAATAATTATATAAATTTTACCTAACATCAGGTTAGATGGAAAAGAGATTGATATCAGTGCTTTGCCATACATACTGATCAATATATGAATAACTGTTTAAAAAACAAATCAACCAAGTGATTATTTCATACCTAGACTGAAAAAGGAATTTAGAGCTTATTCAGCCTGGATTACTTTCTGTGTTCTTTTGTACAGAAAGATAAACTATTATAGACAATCCACTGTCATTAAGGCTTTTCTATATAAAAAATGCTTCTTGTGAAAAAGAATACTTGCAACTGTCTCAGAATACACAATGTCTTACGCGCTACTGCTATGAGCGATTTAGTGGTTCTGTATCACAGTGATTATCAATAAAATGCAAAGAATAATCCATGCCTCTAGATATCATTTGGCATTAAATGCAAACTAATATAGAAAAAAAAAAGGATCATGGTAATTTTAATAGCCTGAAGACATCTGCAATCATATTCTGTAAGCAAAAGCTTAGGTGGTGTCCACCTGCCTTCACTACTTCACCATTCTGGGATTCACAGTGCTATGTAACTAGATACTATGGAAAGCACTGCTGAGGAAGGATTTCTTCAAGCTATATCATATGAAAACACACATTGGATTTGAGCGCCTCAGAAATACACAGATGTTATTTACCATTTCTTGCCAATATGTCATCATAGACTGGACAAACACCATAGTATAGCGGGGGATCTTTGGAAGGAGTCTGAGCACTGATTTGTGAATCAACATGCGCTGCTCCACAAACTGAAGCTGAACCGTTCCTGTGAATCACAGCATCTTCTTCTGGAGGGTTCAGACCTACACAGTACCCGAAGTCTACCTCCTCAGCAGCATTTCCATGATGGTTGTGATTCATTGCTGAGGTTTTCAAAGCCTTTCGTGTCTCTGTCTGGCTGCTATCAGAAGGGATGTTTCCAGCAGCCTCCTTTGAAAGACTAGATCCTTTCTCCTCCAATGCTCCTTGCTGTTCCAACAAAGCTCGAGCCAATTTTTTTTCAAAAATAGACCTAGTGGTTGAGGTAACGGGTCCACACTTCAGTCCCGTTTTTACAATTTCTTCTCTAAGCTCATCAGCGGTGAGTTGCTTCAAGCGGGATAATATCAAATCCATTGTGATTTCACCTACGAAAGAAGGGGGAAAGAAGTGAGCTAAAACTGCAAAGGAGGACACTTTTTTTCCCTACTATTTAAATGCCGTATCAAAAGTAAGAAAAGGCATGCTGTAAGAATTATTCTGAATCTGAAGAGATTCACGCAAATGCACAGAAGACAAAATATTTCCAGTTAGCACATTAAAACATTTTAAAGCTATCAGAGTACATTTCCTCTTCTCTCCTCACTACTTGAGAGAATACTTGAAGTTTACATTTTTCTTCTTAAATTTCATTAAGACTTATGAAGTGAATAACAATTCAGAACATTTATGTGTGAAAATTCACGATAGGCTGAGATGAGATTTGATTCCTGTCAAGAAGGGAGCAGACTATGTAACGGCATGCAAACATGATGGATAAAAAGCCTCAGAAATACGCTCTTGTTAGGCAGTCCCTAAGCTAAAGGCACAGCAGTGTTTCTAACATTTCAATAACAATTTCTAGCTGAGAAAATGTATGATGCAAGGGTACGATGCAGCAACCAGGCGAGTCTATCTCTGGCAACGATTCAAGGCTGGAGCTATTTGCACAACAGGCCGTTTCCCAGTCCTTGTTTCGTGGGCAAACAGCCAAATGACAAGAACAGCTGAACTTTTCAGATTCCCCTCTTCCCAGCAACGAGGAGTGGGAAGAATTCATTTATTTATTTATTTCCAAATGAAAACCGCCTCTCTAGTACACTACAAGTCCCTTTCTCACTTTCTTCCATATAATCCACACACTTCCGTATGGCCAACCAACAGGTACGGAAAACAACACGCTGCCAACACAATTTCCTTGTGAAAAATCTATGAATCTGAAAAACAACTATACTTAAAATAGAGGATATAGGGAGCTCAATAACATGAGGTGCTTTAGGATTATTTCAGCAGACACTGCATACAGCCATAAGGGCTATGACTCCTTCCTGCTGTACACTATCCAGAAACCACGACTTTATGACAGAAATGATTATGCTGTCCTGCTCCTTCAGCTTGATTTCACTCCCTCCTTAAGTTACAGGTACTCTTCTGAATTGGCCTTTCCTGTACCATCTAGCTTTATTTTCATTTTCACTGGTTTGGATTGGAGTTTATGGCATTTTAATACCTATTTGGACAAGTCACTGCTCCATAAAAAAAATAAAGAAGTTAAAATGTCATTTGAAAGACTGTATCTCAGCACTAAAGCAAAGATCAGGAACCTAGTTAGGACTATTCCCTGCTCTTATTTCATGCAAAGGATTTTGTTTTCTTTTCCTCCTCTTACACTACACTACTTTCTATTGTTCAATCATTCAGTTTTCAAAACACTTTGAAAACCAGCGGGGTTTTCAGATTTCAGCCTGAACACTCAATGGCAGTTTTTCCACATGAAGTCACTTCTATTTTCTAAAATCAGGCTGTTTTTCAGAATTGCATCACTATAAAATCTTACTACATTACAAAAAAAGAAATCTCTGACATATGACTTACTAAGATCTGCAATCTTAAAATAAATCTTAAACTATCAGCTGTGCACATGACAGTGGGAAAAAACCTATTTTTATTTCTAAGTTCCCCTATTCTATGAAGGTCTTCATAGCCTTTAACATGATGTGCTTTGACATTTATCTGGCAAACTCATACGAGGCTTAAGCTGTGAAGGGCTGTACCCTAATACAGCAGAGCCACAATATTCTAAATACTGGATCCTACTAGGATCATTTATTTTGTCAAAGCACAGAAGCTCTGAAGTAATTCTAAAATTACACCTTCATCATCGAATTGTAGCTCTAGTAGAAAAAAAAGGGAGTTTAATTATATGTGCATTGTCAATAGTAACATCACAAAATACAACTATGAAATATGCTTGACAATTGTGGCTTTTTGAATTACCCAAAGATTAAGTTGAGAAATGAAGAACTGTGCACTAAAAACAAAGTGGAAATTTTTGTAACTTTTTGCAAGTGAATAAAACCATGTAAAATTTTCACTGGCATCTATACATTTCACCGACACTACTACATTTCTAATGCTAGACAAATCTTACAGAAAAAGTGTTAATTCCAAGCTTCAGAGATTTTTAAATACTATAACAACTGGGCAGGTCTTGCCTGTGAGCTTCAAATTTTCCCTGAGGTAATGGAATTCTGAGGTGGTTTTGTTTGCTTGTTTGTTTGCTGTTTTTGTAAATGCCCGATTTGAACACTGTGTGCTTTCAGAACATATTTCAGTCCCAGGATATTTCACAAATATTAACAGGATCCATAATGAAGCTATGGCAAACAGGAGCACTTCAGCTTCAGAAAACAATCTGAGGCAAAGCAACAGCTGATGATCTACATCCCCAAAGTACTCTAGGTCCCTTATGATTCCTTAACGTGCAGGGCAACCTCACTGCTAAGGTTATTGGACACAGTCACACAAAGACAGCAGATGTGCAAGGACAGAAGTGAAAGATCTTCTCACTTGATTTCAGTTGTTAATTCCTTAAAATGTTTTTGATAACATTTGATGCAATTATCTTTAATCAAATGATAAAAATGATGCCATGATTAAAGCCTGCCATTCAATTGTTTTTCTTTTTGGGACTGTATAATGCAACTGAAAAAAAAAGATGAAACAGCAGTCAGAAAGTTTATTACAGAAACAGTCCAAGAAAATACTTTAAAAGGGTAAACGTAATATAACACCTTGAAGAATTAAATGAGGAAATATCCTTATTTTTTAGGCTTGGAAAGCAGTGCAATCATTGGGAATGCTGTCTAAAAGCAGACACATATACAACTCATGTATGTGCAGTGTGCAGGCACATGCACAATCTTTGTAATGAAAAGAATATGCATTTCTTGTGTTTATTACCATTTCTCTACAATTAAATCGAAGAATGAAACAACAAAGCAGAATAACAGTAATTCCCTGAGATTTATGATCTACTATTAACACAAAGAGTTTTGTACAGTAAGCTTACCATGGAAAATAAAATGTCTATATGACTGCAGGCATAGTTTATTGCCCTATTCAATAAATTTCACATAATCCAGAACACAATCTTCACCAGAGTAGTTACCTTCTTTAATTTAGTGCGCAGGGTCTTGCACATTATCTTAGTGACTTTACAAATATGATTAACTACTGAACCCTTAACAACAGCTGCATATTTGAGGTTTTTCCCAAATGAAACAAAATTTGGGAGAATGCATACAAAATGTATTTCCCTGTGTCTGTCTGCATCAGTATGAAACAGCAAAAGAGTTTCAAAAGAACCTACGACTAGTAGCACCATGACAGAATAACTGATAAACATTTAAGGATAGTACTAGTATTGTATCCCATTCTTCATTACATCTTCCTATTAATATAGATTTTAAAATACAACAAAAAAATACTTTCAAAGGGACGGTGACGAGGTAAGAATTAAATGCAAGACACATCCTGCCTTTGGCTATATGTCAATCGGAAGGGAAGTTGCTAGGAAAGCACATGGCAGAATAATTGCGGTTATGCCTTGGGAAGCGAAGGGAATAGGTTATTTTAGACATTTCTGCCTGCCTGGCCTGTTGCCAAATTAAGAGAGTTACGAACACGCTGATACGCGGCAGAAATAGCCCAAACATGCCTGGAAAAAAAAAAGCCAGAATTGAAAAACAATAAAACATGAAAGAAAGAGAAGGCAGGAAAGGAAGACTTTGGGGAAGGAACAAGGAGGGCACCCTGTGCAGCGGGGAAGGCTCGCGTGGGAGCGGCGCCAGGGCGCGCAGGGCCGCGCTCAAGGGCGGAGCCGCC